GCTCTCATCTCGAATATCATTTATCCCTTCCAAACTCTGAGAGAGAAAAGTTAGGGAAATTTACAAACAATTGTAACATTCCATAATCATATACAAATAAGTGATTGAGCAAAGTCGAGAAATCTCATAGATTACTAAGACAATTAGCCGAACATCACAAAAGTGAAGAATTAAAATTCAGGAAATATGGAAACAAGATTATTGTTTATTACTTAAAAAATAAGGATACAAGAATAATCAACTCTGATCCATCCAAAACCAAAAAATTACCCAATAAAAATAGTAAATGAATCGGTCAAAGGCAATGGCTCGCTGATCAGCTTAATCAGATCAATAATCAAAACAGTCATGCCACCTATGGCTGAAATAATATATTCTAATGAAAGTATCATAAACAGACACATGACACTCGATTTTTGAGGGAAAAAATGTTTACATGATTATAATTTGAAATGAGAACAAAAAAATTTAATTAAGTAAACATTGGATTCAATTCCTTAGTGAGATGGTGATGATATGAACGCATCGACTGGAGAATGAAGTTATATTCAACACATACGAATATATTTGATTCCATATGAAAACAACTTGTTCAACATGGCGGACCTGGGTTCAGAACTGGCTGATAATCGATTGACCACATCTGATAGTCGATTATCATGTTTCGCACCGCAGGCCATGATAATCGATTGTCTCCACATGACAATCGATTGTCAAAGTATTTGTTCATGACACCCAAGTTCAGAGGGGCCTGATAATCGATTTTAGCTATGTGATAATCGATTATCAGAAGAACCAGCCCAGACTTGAGATTCCGCAGGACCCAATAATCGGTTATCAGCAAGGTGACAATCGATTATCACGTTTTGCTGAAAAACTGAGGAGTTTAGCGCGACCTAATAATCGATTGTTAGATTCTGTAAATTGATTATTAAGGCACGCTGGTTCCTATTTTTGCCTGATGGATTTTCATTAAGACGTTGAGAGTTTTTGAAAATGAACGTTTATGTTTCCAGCTTAAGTATTGATGAGTTTGCAACCTTTTGTAACGTTTATACTAACAAGTGCGTAATCGAAAGGCCTAGTAAACGAAAAGTCATGACGATGTGGATGCACGTAGGTTTAGCCGGTAATCCTATGAATATAACGATATGATTATACTACGAATTCTAAAGTTAGAGGGCAACGTACACACACCTCTAAACGCAGAGATTTACGATAACGGTAACGGATGAGCGAACAGCTAACGAACGGACAACGAACGTTGGGCAACGAACGGCGAACCTCCTGCGTGGTCTCCCCTCTCTTCTACTTCCCGCCTTCTCGCCGGAATCCACCCCGTGCCTTCCTGCTCCCTTGGCCGAACAAAGAAAAGGGAGAGGGAGAGAGTGTTGAGAGCTTGGTTGGGGGTTACAAATGGGTAAGGGAAAGTGAAGGGGAGAGTGGAGTTTTAAATTTAAAAAAATGAATGGGGGAGTTATGGAGAGTTAAGAGGATTAAATAAAAATGGTGGTGATGAGTTGTGGCGTGTGAGTTGGTGCTGGGAGTTACATCTCCTAATTTGTTTTGTTGTGTAAAATCTTACCTGATCGGTACGCGGTATTTTCCCCGAACGGGTCCGAATTGAGATCCATTTGCATTTCTGGAATCAGACAGTCAAAACGAATATTATGACATGATCAAATAATTTTCCTAAGGATTTTATTTCCCCGCCTCCGGTCCGAGTTAGTAATTAATTAATTAAATTAATCAATTCTAATAGACCGGATCGCAGGGCGTTACAGTTATCCACCCCTTAAGAAAATTTTGTCCTCGAAATTTACCTGATCATTAGTCACTGAAGAGATGAGGACAACGGGTGCGCATGGATTCCTCGGTTTCCCATGTCGCCTCCTCGACGGTGTGGCTTCTCCACAGAACCTTGACCAACGGAATGGTTTTGTTCCTCAACTGGCGGATCTCACGAGCGGCGGCTCCTCCTCGTATGTAAGGTTCTCGTCGAGGGTGACCGTATCTGCTGAAATCACGTGCGAAGGGTCTGACCGGTACCTTCGGAGCATAGATACGTGGAATACATTATGAATCTTGCTCAACTCAGATGGTAATTCGAGCCTGTAGGCTACAGGTCCCACCCGTTGAGTGATTGGGTATGGGCCTATAAACCTCGGACTAAGTTTTCCCTTCTTGCCGAAATGTAAAACGTTCTTCCAAAGAGATACCTTCAAGAAGACCTTATCTCCCTCCGCATACTCAATGTCTCGCCTCTTAAGGTCGGCGTAGGACTTCTGTCGGTCCGAAGCCACCTTAAGTCGGTCCTTAATCACCTGGACCTTCTCCTCAGTCTCACGAACTAGATCTGGTCCTTTCAGCTTCCTCTCGCTGAGCTCTGTCCAACAGGTAGGAGTCTGGCACGGCCTACCATACAAAGCCTCGTACGGCGCCATACCAATGCTAGCCTGGTAGCTGTTCTTGTACGCGAACTCCATCAACGGTAGATAACGTTCCCAGCCATCCCCGAAGTCGATCGCGCAGGCGCGCATCATATCTTCGAGGATCTGGATAACTCTCTCGGACTGACCGTCCGTCTGTGGGTGGAAGGTCGTACTGAAATGAAGATCGGAGCCCAAAGCTTTCTGTAGGCTCTTCCAGAACTGCGATGTGAATCGTGGGTCGCGGTCCGAAATGATAGATGAGGGAACTCCATGCAACCGGATGATCTCGCGGATGTATAGCTCCGCCAGACGCTGTAAAGAGAAATCTCGTCATATCGGAAGAAAATGGGCGGACTTAGTCAAACGGTCCACAATGACCCAAATTGTATCGCTCTTGCGAGGCGACAAAGGTAGCCCCACTACGAAATCCATGGTGATACGATCCCACTTCCACTCGGGAATCGTAATCTGCTGAAGTAGTCCGCTCGGTACCTGGTGCTCAGCCTTAACCTGCTGGCATGTCAAGCATCGTGTCGTAAACTCTATGATCTCTGTCTTCATCGCAGGCCATCAGTAATGCTTCCGGAGATCCTGGAACATCTTGTTACTACCGGGATGCATGGTATATACCGTGCCATGTGCCTCACGAAGGAGTCGTTCCCTCACTTCCCCTGCTGGCACCACCACACGATCCCGATACAGCAAGACTCCATCCTCTCGCACGGAGAAATCAGGTTTCTCGCCCCGAGAGGCGAGCTCACAAGTCTGCTTGCAGAAGTCGTCGCTGCGCTGTGCTGTCTCAATCTCATGGAGCAAGGTAGGCTGAACTCAGAGTACGGCTAGGGTTTTGCGACTAAGAGCATCAGCCACCACATTCGCCTTACCAGGGTGATAAGCGATATGGCAATCTTAGTCCTTAATCAACTCCAACCATCTCCGCTGTCGTAGATTCAAATCCTTCTGACTCAAAAGATACTGCAGACTTTTGTGATCGGTGAAGATACGCGTCGTCTCGCCGTACAGATAATGCCTCCAAATCTTCAGAGCGAGAACGATCGCCGCCAACTCTAGATCGTGTGTAGGGTAGTTGCTCTCATGCGGCTTCAACTGCCGGGACGCATAAGCTACAACCTTACCCTCTTGCATAAGAACACACCCTAGGCCATTGTGTGAAGCGTCGCTGTAAACCGTGTACTCCACTCCTGGGGTCGGCTGTACCAATACAGGTGCCTGGGTCAAACACTCCTTTAGTTTCTCGAAGCTCTGCTGACAAGCCTCGGTCCAGTCAAACTTCACATCCTTCTTCATTAACTTATGCAACGATGAAGCTATCCTCGAGAAGTCCTTCACGAATCGGCGATAATATCCTGCCAACCCGAGGAAACTCCTCACCTCTCGCGCGTTGCGTGGGATCCTCCACTCCGTGATCGCTGAGATCTTGCATGGGTCCACCTTCACCCCCTCAGCCGAGATGACGTGGCCGAGGAAGGTGACCTCGTGCAACCAAAACTCACATTTGGACAGCTTGGCATAAAGTTTCTGCTCTCGTAGGATGCTGAGTACCGTGTGCAGGTGCTCCGCGTGCTCCTCACGCGTCTTGGAGTACACCAGGATATCATCGATGAAAACAACCACGAACAGGTCAAGGTACTTACGGAACAAACTATTCATCAAATCCATGAAGACAGCCGGTGCATTGGTCAAACCAAAAGGCATCACCGTTAATTCGTAGAGACCATAACGTGTGCGGAACGCGGTCTTAGGAATATCCTCCTTCCTGACCGGAATCTGATGGTACCCTGAACGCAGATCAATCTTAGAGAAAACCGTGGCTCCTCTCAACTGGTCGAACAAGTCATCAATGCGAGGAAGAGGGTAACGATTCTTGATGGTGACTTTGTTCAGCTGACGGTAATCGATGCACAGCCTCATCGAACCGTCCTTCTTGCGAACGAACAGGACTGGTGCGCCCCAAGGGGACACACTAGGACGTATGAAACCCTTATCCAAGAGCTCCTGCAGTTGAGCTTTCAGCTCCTTCATCTCTGCCGGGACCATGCGATAAGGTGTGATGGAGATGGGTCCCGTTCCCGAAACCAAGTCGATAGAGAATTCTACCTCCCTCGGGGGTGGTAGTCCTGGAAGCTCGTCGGGAAATACGTCTGGGAACTCGCACACCGTAGGGATTTCCTCTCGTCCAGGTGCCTCTAGCTGCGTGTCGCGGACAGTGCATAGAAAGGCCTCGCATTTCTTGTGTATGAGGCGGCGAGCTTGCATGTATGAGATGAATTGGGGAGCCTTCGGGAAAAGCTCTCCGCGGATCAGCACGTCACTACCATCTTCGGCTTTCAGCCGTACCGTATGGGCGCCATAGTCGACAACGGCTTGATTGGCTGTGAGCCAATCCATGCCCAGGATAACATCGAATTCTCGATGTGGGAGCTCGATTAGACTTGCAGGGAAGCTCTTCCCTTGCACAACTAGCGGACAGTCAGGATAGATATATTTGAGACTTAGACTGTGTCCCAACGGATTGGACACAATCACCGGATCCTCCAGGTTCTCTCTCGGAATATTAGACGATACAGGCATAGATGTACACAGATATGACAATGTGGAACCTAGGTCAATCAAAGCAGATATTGATGTATCGAATAAGGTGAACATACCCATAATCACATCAAGGGTGGGCTACTCAGTGTGTCCATGCATCGCATAAGTACGGGCTGGAGCCTTCCCGGACTGAGCGCTCTGAGCCGCCCTTTTCGGTTGACTGGACGCCGCTACCGACTTCTGACTCGGTGCGGGCTGGGCTGCTGGAGCTGAGGCTGCGGCTGTGGGCGCTGTCGGGAACGCCTCACCAGGGTTCGTCGGGCAATTCCTGCGGTAATGCCCGGCCTTTCCACACCCAAGGCATAGGCCCTGAGTGAACCAACACTCTCCGGAATGCCTCCGGCCGCAGAGGTTGCAAATCGGGTTTCGATATCTGTTCTGACTCTGGCTCTTCCCACTCGATATCCGTTATAATTATAATAATAACTTAGATGATACGGTTACCTTTCCCGGTGGAGATACGAAGCGGGATGCGACAGTGGGTCCTGGAGAAAATGTTTTTTTTCCAAAATGGGTTTCAAAAGTTTTTTTTAGAACCGTAATGCTCTGATACCAAAATGTAACACCCACCGTCCCGCGAACCCGGTTCACCGTGGTCCTACGAGCCGGAGAGGTTACGTAGACGGTTTCTAGGACCGTCCACAAAGCAAAACCCTTGCGCTGCTTGTAACTGAAAACCCTTACCATATTTTATTAAATGATGAAAATGAATCCACTTAAGGAAATGTTTATAGCGGAAGTAAATGTAAATAAAACCGTTAAGTCATAAATAACGTAAGTGCGACAAAGGTGGGTTCATGCCCAAAACGTTTATCATAATTAAGTAAACAATTCATCCGGCCCGCACTGTCGTTCATCCGCTGCCCCGATCACCCAATCGTCCGGGTCAGGCTCCATGGTTCTCTTGCCTACCTGCGTATAGCAAAGGGAAAACAACGCTATACGCTCAGCAAAAGCTGAGTGGTAATCTAACAGTAGAACGCATAGCACATTCACATTGATATAAACTTTAGCATCGTCAGAAACGAAAACCATGGGCCTACAGCTTACCAACTAGTAAACATGCCCTTTTGAGATGAAGGGGTTATTTGATTTAATATGAGTATCAGAATAAGAATATAAAACTTACAAAACATAATGGGTATTGGAAAAAGAGGCTTTACCCATCAGCATAAAGCATAAATGGCCATTAACATTAATTTTAACAAAATATACATGCGTTTTTGTTTCATTCCCCTCCCTCTCTTCAGGAAGCAGCCATTGTGATACCAAGACGAAGCACGTCTCGTACAGACCTCAGGGATCCTAAAGTTATTCTGTACCTAAAATTAGGGGTCAAGCTACGTACATCCAACCCCCCCCCCCCACCCAGCCATGAGCGGGAGCCTTTGACCACTGGGGTAATGTTGTTTTTGTTGTATGTAAACTGCAATGAAACAAACAAAGTGGGAGAGAGGAAGTTGTTTGCTACTAGGATTCAAATTCTGGAGAGCTTTTAATTCTTAACTAATATGAGTCATATATTCTTTTTATGTCGTGGTTGACTAAAATCGATTATGTAAGAATCTGAATCCTGGAATAAGCAGAAAAATTGAAACCGGATGAGCTTTTATTATGCAAGAATGCAAGTGATAAACCTTTTTTGCTCATAGCATAATCTTTTTCACATTTCATGCAATAAGATTGTGTCGGCCAATGGAGAAAAAGTCTTACCCAATCATGTTGAGCCTGAAACTAGACAGCAGAGCAGTATGACGATAGAGATTGTTCAATACAATAGATGAATCTGATCCACAATCAAGTTGGAAAATATTAGAGGGAAGGAATAATATCATCATGACATCTTACGACCCAAACATGGAAATTGATTCATTCTACATAAATTCAACTAGTACCACAATGACAACACACATTCCTGATCGATCGCTCTCATCTCGAATATCATTTATCCCTTCCAAACTCTGAGAGAGAAAAGTTAGGGAAATTTACAAACAATTGTAACATTCCATAATCATATACAAATAAGTGATTGAGCAAAGTCGAGAAATCTCATAGATTACTAAGACAATTAGCCGAACATCACAAAAGTGAAGAATTAAAATTTAGGAAATATGGAAACAAGATTATTGTTTATTATTTAAAAAATAAGGGTACAAGAATAATCAACTCTGATCCATCCAAAACCAAAAAATTACCCAATAAAAATAGTAAATGAATCGGTCAAAGGCAATGGCTCACTAATCAGCTTAATCAGATCAATAATCAAAACAGTCATGCCACCTATGGCTGAAACAATATTTTCTAATGAAAGTGTTTTAAGTCATAAACTGACACATGAAACTCGAGTTTTGAGGGAAAATATGTTTACATGATTATAATTTGAAATGAGAACAAAAAAATTTAATTAAGTAAACATTGGATTCAATTCCCTAGTGAGATGGAAAACCAGATTTAGCAATAAGGCCAATAACATCATAAAATTAGATGATATTGTTGTTTACGTCTAAGCATTGAAAACCCAAACAGATCCAACCATCCAAACTAAAAGTCACACGGTTTAACCCAATTTTCAACCAGTTCAATCGGTTCAAAACCACCTACCCATACCTGTTTTAAGGGCTCAGCAGACCTGATCACTATGTATTTCTAGGTCTGCACAATCTGAGGAATCAGTCCAGTTTAAAACACCATAAAATTTATCCAGTTTGCCATGGCATTTCTAGAGATATTAAGGTTTAACACGAAGGCAATGGCAGAAAGCAATAAAGATCAAGCTTGGCCTAGGAAGTGCAGCATTATCAATGACCATAATGACAAAAATAATTAATACAAAAGACTATCACAAAAAAGAATGAAATAAAGAGAAAGCATGATGAAGAGGTAACACATATTTGTCAATGTAGGAGAAATGGCCTTCTTCAGGTT